AAGTGAAATTTTCTTAAAAATCCAAGATTGCTCTAGAAAAAAAAATCAAAACTCAAATTTAATAAAAAATTTCCTATTGTTTCTTTAGAATAGAATGCCATGTTTAACAAATAGTTTTTCGTTCATTTCCATCCTCTACTCTAAACACATACATACTATAGTAAACCCTCTCACCCCTTTGTTGTATATCCAAACACAATTAATTAGATCTCACCCTTTCACTTTCAACTCCCTTCCCTTAGTTTTATCTCAATTACTCCCCTCCCTTCCCCTCCTTTGTATCCAATCTAGGAGTTAGAAATCAATTTTAAAACCAAATAGTGAAATTAAAGAACGAGAAATTTTCACAACTCAAGTGTGGATTAAGTTGGTCTAGGGTTTAGGTAGGGAGTGGTAAGAAGAAGAGTTTGGGGAAGAGGGGGAAAAGAGGATTCCCCAACCCCCTCCCCCGCAAGTTGTCTAGACCTTTGAGGGCAATTTGAACTATTGATTTACGTATACAGAAGTAACCAATTAGGTTTACGATGATCCAAGAGAAAACTGTTGAGCGCCGAACAACAAATGATTGAGTTTAGTAATTCCTCATAGAAAATTATTGACTCTAGAGATATGACAATATGGAGAAGACAAAATTGCTTGAAGCAGAAACTAAATGTGAGAGAGGTTTTAAAAAAAAGATAAAATTGAGATTTTTTATGTGAGGGTGTATTCATCACTTGGGGTGCTAAGAGGGTGTATTCGTCACTTGGGGTAACAACGAGTAAGCGGTGATTTTTTTGGGAACTTCATGGGGGTGTGGGTGGGGATGGTGAAATGTACCCATTCGGTCACATTTGACAAAGGGCTAAGTAAGGGATTAAGGAGAGTTAAACCCTCTTTAGCCTTTCTGAATACAAAAAGTTCACATAGGAGACAAACTGAGTTAACACCTCATAGTTTGTCAAACACAAAAAACAAATAACATAATGTTTTACAAATCCCAATAGAATGATTATCTTAAGTTAATCCCTCAAAACTAGGGGTTTACAAATACATCTATTTAGACAGTTTAAGGAATTACCCCTCAATTAATAAAAAAATGACCATGACTTTTTTTATTCCCGAACACAAAAAATTGCAACAAATATTAAGAACCTGACGGATTAAAAAATCTAACCCTTCTAAAAAATTATACATCAACATGAAGGAACAATTTCAGTTATGAATTGAAAATTACTCGAGTCATTTTTAATTAAAATAAAATATGTCTTTAAGGAAATAAATCACCTTAAATGAAATAATTTTTATATTCACTGATCTATAAAATACCAAATCAAATAATTAATATATCCATTTTCTACAAATATTCAAATGACAATCATATACGATCAGGAACAGAGGAATTTGAAGAACCTGTTATAAAAGTTTAACTGCAACACAATTGCAAAGTATTAAAATGCTAGGATGCAGTTTTATTTTTATTCCATCATCTTACCTCCCATCCCAATCCAACATGAGATACTTCTAAAATAAGATAACAGAGCTCAGAAAGCTTTAGAGACTCCATGGATAGCTCGTACTTTCATTTTCCATTAGAAATAGCTAAGCTCACGTAGTTAAGTTCATATCCAAATTAGCATGTTCACAAATTTAAACATAGATTTGATAGGGACGCGCCAGGCCCATGCAGTAGTGCAACGCAAGGGCAACGCTCGAGGGCCCCAGTAGCAAGCTACTGTAATGGACCCTCCCCCAACAAAAATTAATTTAATATCATAGTGAGCCAATGACCCACGTATCAGATATTAAACTGATAAGAACAAATACTACACTTGATCTTAGGGGCTGTTTGGTTGTTGTTGGTAAAGTTGTGTATTTATGACACAACTTGGAAAGTTGTTGTCCACCTCATCAATTTTACTTTTATATTTTTCTTTGTTTGTTTTTGATTCCATTGGAATCATAAAACACTTGTTTGGTTTGCAAAATAAAACTTTAATTGTTTGTTTGGAAAGTGTAAAAGTGGTCCCTACTCAAATGATCATATTGGTTGGAGTTATTTTTTATTATTTTTTCCTAACTTCAATGTTAGTTTTTTCCTAAAATCATGTCTTTTTTTCATGAAATCACTTTACAAGCCACATCAGCATATGAAATCACTTTACACTATTTTCACAACTACAAACAAACAATTAAAAGTGATGAAAGCTGACATTGGGACCCACCTTTTTACACTTTACATCCTTTTACATGGTAAAAACATACAACCAAACAGCCCCTTAGCCAAAAGGCCGAGAAAGGTATGCTTTGGAAAGGTGGCCTGCAGGCTTTTCTTACACCAACTCAGGAGCAAGCTTTCTTGAACTTGCTCAATGTGGGACTAAGTAGGAATAAAAATTAATCAACGAAGACAAGGTACTGTACATAAGGGTAGCAGTTCAATTATAAGAGCTAAATAATTTGTAAGTTAGGTTGGATAATTATCAAATCCTCTTATATTTATTAACTTAATCACTTGTTCAGAGGGTAACTTGAGAGAAATAAAACAATAACGGTTATTATTTATATATTAACTGAATCAAAGATGACCATTCATATGTTCCAATTTAGAGGTGTAGGCTTGTGACTTATCAAATTTGTGTTTAAAAGTTTTAACTGTTATACGTATGTTATTACACCAAATGTTATGGTTTAAGTCATTTTTTCTATTTACAAATTAATTCTATAAAGTTAGGAGTTTAAAGTCAATTTAAAAACCAAATAGTGAAATTCAAGAATGGGTAACTTTCACAACTCCGAGTTAAAGTGGGAAAACAAAGTTTGTTGGGGAACAAAGTTTGCTGGGATAATTGTCGTAAATACTCCAAAGTACCGGGGTGGGGGTTGTGAAATTGACCATTGGGTCCTATTTTGGTAAAGGATTAAGTGGGCAGTTAATGAGAGTTAATTTCTCTTTTGCCTTCCAAACACGAAAAATTTACATAGGATATAAACTAAGCTAACCCATCATGATTTGTCTTATATAAAAAATAGTAAAATGTTTTACAAACCTCTCTAAAAGGGTTAGAATGGATTAACGATTTATAAATCCACCTATTTAGACAAGTGAAAAGATTACCCCACAGACTATAAAGAAATAGTCATAAATGATTTTCCCTGAATAGAAAAATGGCAACGATGATTAAAAACTAACGGATTAAAAAAATTTAACCCTTCTAATGACTTATAACATCAATATGAGGGAACAATTTCATTTATGATTTGAGATTTACTAAAATCATTTAAAAAAATGATAATTTTGGGATTTTGTAAAGCTTATGCGTGCAGACTACCTTTGTATCCAAACACAGGCCACTGTGACTAAAGTCATTTTTTTTAATTATGTCTTTAACTAAATAAAGGTTTTTTTTTCAATATATACCCTCCAAAATCATAGATATTTTTAAATTCGCCCCTCAAATCAAATTCTAAATTTGCCCTCCAAATTGTTTGCTTTCATCAATTTTGACACCTACCACATGTTACCTTACCAAAATATCCCTATTTTAATTATTTTCATCAGCAAAACAATAATGCATCGTGATTGTTTGACATTTGCCCCTTTGCTTTCTTCGCTAAAAAAAAATCACGACCGTAAACCCATTTTAAGGAAGCCAGGTCAGAGGCAATGGATGGTCGCGTTCTAGCGAAATCCTGTTGTCTAGAAGAGTACTCGTCAGTCACTGCTCTGAGATACTCAGGCTTCGTCAACGCTTTCGCGTCGGGCGAATATGGACAACGAAGAACCACGAACCCCGCCTCGGCCGACGACGTAGCTTCCTAGTCGGCGGTGTAGTATTAGGGCGAGTGTTCCCTTAAGAGTCCGTTTGGATAATAGAAGTATTAGAAGTAAGAAGTAGGTTATAGAAGTAACTTTCAAAGTTATGAAGTAGGAAGTAGTAAAAAAAGCATTTTTTTTTTGTTTGTTTCATATATTTTTAGAAGTAATGGAAGCGAAACTTCTTCCTCTTCATTTACTTTTTTTGTTTGAATAACATTTAAAAATATTATTAGGAAGTAATTTTATCAATGAAAAGTTGTTAGAAGTAACTAATAAAAAAAATATTAATAAAAAAAGTTATTTATGTTATAATTAATATGCATTTTAACTACTTCCGAGCTACTTCTGAGTATTGAGGATTGAAAAAATATTTTGAAAGTAAGGATGACACGTAGGCGCCACATAAGCATTTAGGGAAGTATTGGAAGTAAGTTTTTCAAAGAATCAAACACACTTTTTTACTTGAAAATAGCAGAAGTAGCCTCTACTTCTTTTACTTCAGCTACTTCACAACTACTTCCGTGCAAACAAACAGACCCTAACTAACTGAGAAATCAGAAGATGAACGCCTGCGAAGTTTTATAATGGGTCAGGGTTGTATAGCAATGATGTATTTAGTTGTGTATTCTCGATCCCTTTCTTTGAATATAATTAAATTAGGGATATAAAGGTAATTTAACCTAAGAGGGCTAAAATTGGCCAAAGAAAACAATTTAAAGGATAAATCTAGAATTCTGATGATTTGAGAGACGAATCGAAAAATGCTCAACAGTCTGAGGGTTATACGTTGCAAGAACCGCCTAAATATAACCTCATAAATGAAATGAATTTACAGTCGTTAATTTATAGAACATTAAATCAATGAAGTACTTTCATATTTGACATACTCAATGAACAGTAACTCATGAATCAGGAACAGAAGAAATTTGAGGAACACGGTCACAGATGTTTAACCGCATCATATTTGCCAAAAAGAACCTGTAAACGTTTTCCTTTGAGCGCACAAGTAAAACTCTCCGCCCATCTGTAGTTAGTTTCATTTTTCATATTTGCAAAGTATTATCTAATCCAAAAGCCAGTAAACTCATCCAATTCAAAATCCAGAGACTAGGGCACTGATGACATCTACAATGCAGATAAAATGCAAATCCACAGAGAATATTGAGCACAAACCATACAGGAACTGATACGCTGGGTCATATATAAGCTAATGCTGGATCTCTAAATTAGACTATCAAACGCCAAAAGGATTTGGGAGAAGAAACAAATTGGATGAATGTCAGCTTGATACTCATTTTGGACGCCATACCTCACTAGCAATAGCAAAAGAAGGCATCCATCAACAGAGGATGAGCTACAAAACTGAGAAAGTCAAAGATGGCGAAAACATTAAGCAAACAAGTTTGCAGAATAGGGCAAACATTAATTCTTCCAAAAATAAAAGAAGATCCTAATACAAAATTTTGGAGAAATGCATATGACATGCAGTAGGTAAATCTACTCCATAGATGGTGCAGGACCACCAAAACCGCCGCCGCCACGGCCAAACCCAGGTCTACCACCAGAACCCTGCATCATTTAACATATACAACACATGAGAAAATTCCATTCAGATATATCAAAAAAGTAAATAGGACTATTGTGTTGATTGAGCTAACAAAAAAATGTAAAGATATATAGTGGACATCAGGTTTATAACGAAAGGATAGTAGCGGTAAATTTGATACATAGCATGAAAAGGACATTCCTTGGGTGCTTTAACCAAGTAAGAGCATGGGCAGCAAGCTCCCAGCTCCGACGTGGCCAAGCTCCCAGATTTAACCCCCTCCAACAGCCTCTGAAGCGCTCCCAAAGACCTCCCAAGCGCTGACGTGGCTGCCTCCAGCTTCGGAGCTCCCAAGCGCTCCACAAATTTGTGGAGCGCTTGGGAGCTCCCAACTAGGAGAGGATTTACCAAATCCCCTCCAAAATCAGAAAATACAGAGACGGAGGGTCGGGACTTCGGGGTGGGATCGGAGACTGAAGGCGGAGATGTGGCGGAGATAGGGTGGCGTTCGGAGACTGTGCGATGGCCAGCTGGGGTTGGGTCGGAGACGATGGTGGCGAAGGGAGAAGATTTGGCACAGGTCTGTCGAAGATTTGGGGATGAGGGCTGTTTGGTCTGTCGAAGAATTGGGGTTGGGTTTGTCGAAGGAGAAGAAGGATTTTTTGATTTTTTTTAAATGGAGTGCGTTGTTTGATTTTAACCGTCTGTCGAAGATTTGAGTTGTGAAATTTTTTCTTGTTGATAATCGAACGTTGTGAAAATCAGGCTGTTGGAAATATTGAGTTGTGGGAAATATTGACGTTGTGAAAATCATGCTGTTGAAAAAATTACTGTTGTAAAAAACATCTATAAATTCACATCTCACTACTCAAAATATTTCACACAACTCTCTCATAAAAAAAACTCTATATATCCCTATCAAATTACAAATCTCATGGATCCCTCACAAAACTATTATTCGCATCTCCTTACCGGTGAAGGATCGACCTTATACTCGCCGTTCTATACAGAAGTCGGAGAATAAGGTCATCCCATCGAGTTCTCGCAATCCGCAACACAAGTGTCATCCCAAGAAACACCGACCACAAAGAAGAAGAAGGCTTACACGCGGTCCAAAAATTGGACTGTCCACGAGGATAAGCTTCTTGTGTCTGCTTGGCTGAACACGAGCCAAGACGCCATCCAAGGTACGGGGCAACACAAAGATAAGTTTTGGCACAGAGCTAACGACTACTTTATCCAATACTCCACCGATCCAACGAATCGCACACCAAACCAAATGATGCACAGTTGGTCAACGATTCAACTATCTGTCAACAAGTTCTGCGGGTGCGTTGCTCAGATTGAAGAAAGACAAAGATCTGGTACGAGAATTATTGACCAGGTGAATATTTAACTTATATGTTTTTATGTAAATATTTAACTTATATGTTTGATTATTCTAAATTTAACTCTTGTGTAGACTGCAGAAGTAAAAGAATTATACCAATCCCTTTATGGTAAGCCATTCGTGTTTGACCATTGCTGGGTTGAGTTGCGTCATCACCAAAAGTGGATCCAACAAATGGAAAATTACAATAAGATTCGATCACAGCCGAGAAGAACCACAAACTCTGATTCCTCACCAAACAATTCCATGCCAGCGACCCCCATCGAGTTGAACATTGACTCGACTCGGATGATGTTATAGCAAGGCCTGAAGGGAGGAAAGCGGCAAAACTCAAGAGGAAACAAAATGTGGACAAATCTGAGTCCGCTAAGTCCATTATGGGAGAGGCTTTCGCATGGATGAAGCAAACCAACAAAGAAAAAATGGAGCTAAAACAGAAGAAACAAGATGACGATATCATGAAGAACGATCTCTCAACACTCAATTCAGTTCAACGTCAATACTTTGAAATGCGTCAGGCAGAGATATTGGAGAGGTGGATGTCCAAGGGTTCTTCCTAATTATCATATATTGTACTCGCATCGCATCCTCATTAGTTCTTCCTAATTATCAAATAGTATCTTATATTAGATTTATGATTGTACTTGAAGTTAAAAATTTTAGCATTGAATGAAAACAACTACTTTATTAAAAATAAAATTGGCGTAGTACAACAACTTGAACTCCTTTTCTGAAATTACATTAGACATAAAGAAACTTAATCCTCGACGATGGATCCCTTAAGCTGCCACAGATGCTCGATCAAATCATTTTTTAGTGATTTGTGTGTTTGCGTGTGATCAAATCATTTTTTAGTGATTTGTGTGTTTGCGTGTTCCTGATCCGATGATGATTTTGGATGAACTCAGTTAGAGGCACCGTCTGCACATGAGAAGGTTCAACGACTGGTACCGAATCAGTAAAGTCGAAGTTGTTGTCCTATTGACAATCACGTTCATCTTCAACGATCATGTTATGCATTATGATACAAGCTGTCATGATATCTTTCAGCACACAAGGTTGCCAGAAACGTCCTGGTCCACGAACAATCGCAAATCGAGCTTGCAATACGCCAAAAGCTCGCTCAACATCTTTTCTTGCGCTTTCTTGTTGTTGAACAAAGTACTTATACTTGTTTCCTCGAGGTGCTGGAATAGTCTTCACTAATGTGGACCTCTGGGTAAATCCCGTCGGCGAGATAGTATCTCATATTATACTCGTGGCCATTGACAGTATAGTTGCACGGTGAAGCTCTTCCCTCCGCAAGTTGTGCGAAAATCGGTGAACGATGTAGAACATTAAGGTCATTGTGAGACCCCGGCAGTCCAAAGAAGACATGCCATATCCAAAGATCTTTGCTAGCTACGGCCTCCAAAATAATTGTGGGTTCATGAAAATGTCCAGTATACATACCTTGCCAGGCAGTTGGACAGTTCTTCCATGTCTAGTGCATGCAGTCGATGCTCCCAAGCATACCAGGAAAACCTCGTTGTGAGCATTCCTCGAGCAGGCGTGCAACATCTTCATTAGTCGGTGCACGAAGGTATTCCTCTCCAAAGATGTTGATAATCGATCGAACGAACCTCTTCACGCTCTCAAGCGACGTACTTTTACCGATCCGAACGTAGTCGTCAACGGAGTCAGCGGATGCTCCATATGCGAGCATCCGCACAGCTGTAGTAATCTTTTGAAGACTAGATAGTCCTAACTGTCCAGCACCATTCCTCTTTTGGACGAAGTACTTGTCATGTTCGACGACTGCGTCGTGGATTTGAAGGAATAACAAACGCCTCATTCTGAACCTTTGACGAAAATAATAAAGAGGATAGGTTGGTGCGTCAGCAAAATAATCTTGGAATAACCGATTGTGGCATTCCAGTCGATTTCGATGGAGCACGATACGCCGTTTGTGTTGAACTGAAGTTGAACATTTCTCTTGTTCTTCTTCCTCAACGACAACAGCTCCTATAAGAAAGAACGTCTTCATCATTTCATCATCACTAGAGCTAGATGAGCTAGACATTTTATTCTGGGAGATGATGGGCTGAGGAGAGAAGCCGTCGAATTTTATAGGCATCAGTCGGTTGACGGTCAAAGTTTGCGATACCTCGAACTTCGTGCCCAACATCGAAGACCGCGGGTTACCTCGAAGACTGTGTGCGCTCCCTCGAAGACCGTGGGTTGCCTCGAAGACTATGTGCACTCCCTCGAAGGCCGTATCCAACGGTTAGAAATAAAATACAAGAGGTTTAAATATAATTAAAAGTAATGGGTAAAATATTAAAATAGAAGAGGGGTTTTTTTGATATTGTTGGAGCTCCTAACTAGGAGCTTGTTGGAGCTCCATAAAAGAATGAGTGCCTCTCAAGACTTACTTTTTTAATTTTTTATTCCAAAAAGGTTGAGAGCTCTTAGGAGCTTGCTGACTAGGACTCCCAACTGGGAGCTTGCTGCACTTGCTCTAAAGGAACAAGTATTAAAGAGCACCCAGAAGCCACGCAAGGCAAATTAGTAAAGGTTTTGGATTTGGGGGAGGCTACGTTGCATGGGTAAGGGTACGCGTCTGGATACCGGTACCAGTACTGGCACAGGACCGCAAATTTGTAAAAGGTAGGGTACGTGACATGGATACATACACATACATTATATATTGTAATTAATATTTTGTATGAGAACAAGAATGAGAATTAAATTTCCTATAACATTTTATGTTTTTTATTGTGTGGAATATAAATTGGAAACTCACTAGAGTTTCATTAGCAAAAGAAGAAATAGAAAGGTAAACTGATGGGCTTTTAGAATTTTCAATCAGAAGAAAGTAAGTCAAACCAAGAAAGAAAACCATCAGATATAATGGTAATACATCAACATAAACACCACTGAGGTGATCTCAGACGACCGTCGTGAGATGTAGAAACCATTCTCATCACGTGGTTCATTTATTAGCAAGAAACAAGAGGCATAAAACAAAAAAGATGTCAAAGGTTTTCTACATGACAAGCAATAGCAGATTGTAAAAATGTATGCCCCTATATGTTGTCAGTTTCACTTGTAACCACACAAGGTTGCTTAGAAACAATGCACATAGTTTACTACACAATGACAGAAAGTTAAGCTATATTGCATTGAGTATTAGGCATATAATTAAGTTATTACCCTAAACGAGGGATTGTACTCAGCAGGAGCTCCGCCTTTGTCACCACCAAAATCACCGCCGCCTCGAGGACCTCCTCTGTACCCGTCCCTATCTCCAAACCTCCTCTCACCTTCAAAGCGTGAACCCCTAAAATACGAAATCGATTAAGTTAATTGCAAAACCAAAGTTACAACACAAATAATTAAAATACTTTCAAACCAATTTAACAAGCATGGTATGTTACATTACATATCAATAAAAATCCACAACCCCTATCCATAATTTAAGAATAATTCCTAATCCATTCACAAATCGTACCAAGATGTTCTACTGACGAACATACATTATACTATATAATTATAAGAAAAGAGACAGAAAATATTAATGAACTACTATTACCTAATGAATTTTAAAGGAAATAACTATCACAATAGCTTTTTACAAGAGAAAACTACCACAAACTCTTTCCAATAAACTCCCACGTAATAGCAACTAATTTAAATGTAGCGTGACAATTTTTGAAGAATCTTATCTTATTTAATTCATATATCTCGTGTATCATATTATAAACTTAAGTGCATTGATAGACATAATTTACTTCAGGACTTTTATCGACTCTTAGCAACAATTTCTTTAATTCATGGTAACTTTATGCAGTTTTGGAAGTTCATAATCTTCTCCATAGAAGATTTTATGATCGTTATGTGCAAATACCACTCAAAGTTCATGCCTTTATGGTGTGAAATTTAACCAAACAATAAACCATAAAAAATAGGTCCATTCTACAACCTTGGGCGATCACCAGGAGGCCCAGATCCAAAAGGCCTCGGTGGCCCCTTCTGAGCCTTCTTCAATGTAGCAGGAACGATTTCAGATGGAAGATTCAAATAAGTTCGAAGATGCTCGATCCCATCATTAGTAAGGAACCAATAATAGTGTTCCCATGAGAATGTCTCTCTCACGTACTCCCGAGATTTAAAACTCTGCATCAATTTGATTACCTGCAGGTTTGGCACATCGATCAATGGGTGCTTCGCGAGGTTATAGTCTTTCTTTGCATACAAAACCCCCTCTGAATTCAACAAAAAAGGGTAAAAGAGTTAGGGTGGGATAATTAGTATATAAGACTAAATATACTCTTAATCTGTGCAAAATAGAAGTTTGTGTCACAAATTTTACACTAGGGGTTTTTTCTTGAAATAAACTGATTTTAGAATTAAATTAGCAAAATAGACCAACTTCCAGGCAAAACTTGGTCTATTTTGCGAATTAAATATATGTTTTGGTCTATTTTGCTAAATGCTAAAATTGGTTTATTTCAAAAATCATAGTTATTATATTCTAATTCTATAGTGTTTATTACATATAGATAGTCCCTCTTATTTTACTAACTACATATTTCACCTCGCCAAAGCAATTTTTTATATTGTTAGTGTACCCTTTTTCTGAGTTTTTTTTTCATTTTGAAGTTAATTTTATGCAGCAAATTCAACTGTAGTTATTATTTGAAAATATAGCAACTACAGCCATTTATGTTGCTATACTCTACACGTGTGACTCTAAGTCCTTTTTTAAAAAAGTAACTTAGTTTTACAATTAATTAGAGAAATTACAATTTATCTATGTAGTCATATTTACAAATTTTTATAAAAAATAGTTCTGAAATAGACAAATCTTTGAAATAGACCAATTTCAATAATTAGCAAAATAGACAACTTTCAGAAAGTTGGTCTATTTTGCTAAGTAAGCACTTTTTTGGTGTATCTTGCTAATTACATATCAAAATTGGTCTATTTAAAAATTTATCCTTTACAAAACTGCCATGAGCTACTTTTATTAGTCAAAAACATCATAATCTTTAAAATCAGCAGAAAAATACCAAACACTATCAGGAAACTATACGATCGTTTTACGATAGTAACTCAAATATAGCAATTTTTCCATTCATTCGAAAGTTTATGATGTGTTCCTCTAATGAACATAGTTTACAATGGTCTGAATTCGACAAAAATGGTAGTAAAATTAGGGTTTTGATGGTAGAAAATTAAAACTCTAGAGGGAAAAAAAAAGACCTTGGAAGAGGTACTTGCAGATCTCATCGCGGTTCTTCTTCGTAATAATCTGAATGAAGAGAGAAAGAGAAATTAGATTCGAGAACAATTAAAACCCTAGCTTGTAACTTTAATTTGCTCACCATTGCTGATGATGATGAGTTGGAGCTTGGAGATCTGAAGAGGGGGAAGAGAGCAGAGAGAAACCCTAGCGTTTGGAGGTGGTATTTATAGTGTGGATTGTGACCGGGTTTTGCGGAGTCTAGCGATGGACGGTGGAGATTAGTTTGCTTCATGGTGGGGTTTAGAGGGGCCCACTGTAACTTATACACAATGTGTGGCCCACTTAAGATTCTCCAATTATTCAGCTTTTTAAGGGGGGTGTTTGTTTCAAATCTTATAATTTTAGGATATGGATTTTATCATGGGACTTGAAATCCATAGGTGTTTTGTTATGGGTGGGGATCAGTGGCGGAGCCAGGATTTTTAACATATGGGGTCCTAAAATTATTGATAATATAGATTTTACGCACAAATTATTTTGGAGAATTGTTGAAGAAGGGAGTTGGAGGGATTTTTTTTACGTGAACATTGAAAAGGTGGGGAAGGGGAAGGGTTTTAATTTTTCTCTAGTTTGTTTACTACTGTACAGTCTGTACTACGTGATAAGAGAAATTGTAAAAAAAAATCGTGAAAATATGCAGCTCAGCAGACTCAAACTCTGGTGGATTACAAGGGTCTCGGAGTGTTAAACCACTGGGCCATTGCTGCACTTATGTTTTTTATATGTAATATCTGGTACATATTTAGATTTTACTGGGGTCCTGGGACCCCATTGGACTCAATGTAACTCCGCCCCTGATCTGGTACATATTTAGATTTTACTGGGGTCCTGGGACCCCATTGGACTCAATGTAACTCCGCCCCTGGTGGGGATTTCTAAAATGCTGTTTGTTTCATTAGTATTTTGGGATTTGGAATACTACAATTTGTAATATTTTGTTTGTTTCAAACTCAAATTGTAGCATTACCAAATACCAAAATTTTATAATATGACAAATATGCTATCTTAGTGAGGTTACCTCCCACAAAAAGATAAAATTAAGATTGTCAAATCATCTCCAATTGAGAGATAAACACACCAATTTATGGGAATTGTCAAAATCCTCTCTAATTGAGAGGATTTGACAAATTCTAAAAATTGGGCACTTTTTGCACTTTTAGGATTCAATATTCTAAAAAATTTCTTAAAACAAACACCGTATATGGAATCCCAAAATACAGGACACTCACTTTTTTATCCTAAAAATTGTAACCCATACCAAATGCTAAATTTTTTTGGTGAAACAAACACCCCCTAATTGTTTTTCGACGTGTTGCGTATCGAACAAAGGCCGGGCCCACCATTTATGAATGTTTGTGAAGAACTAATTAGAGAATGAAGTGTGCATTGGTATATAACTAGTATTTTAGCCCGTGCTACGTATGGTCATATCGCAATTCATTTATATTTTGTCACGTTTTAATTACTCTTATCCGAATATAAATTTAAAAAATCTAGCAACTCAACCACTTCGAAACACGTGAACCCCACTCTTATCTGCCCCCATTGAGGTAAGATAACATGTACCCACCTAGAAATAATGGTATTAAGCAACTTATATAAAGCTATAATTAAAATTAAGATTACTTCAACTATTTTTTATAATAAAATAATTAAAATAATGATAATCAAAATATCCTAAATGCAGCTTGAATGAAATTAGGATATAAGATAGTTTAATGTTCAAAAATTATTATTCACAAATGATGCATTGCCAAAAAAAAGTTCTCAATCAATCAATCAATTATAGGATATAATAAGCAAAACATTAAGAAAAGCACTAATAATTTCTAATTATTTTTTTCTCCATCTCAATCATCTTCTTGAAAATTGAAAGAGCATGTTCTTTATTCATCTCTCTAAAATATTCAACAAATTTTACAAAAAAATTAAAATTTGTCAAATTATAATTAAAAATCTCTTACGGGAAATTTGAGTTTTTACAGGAGAAAGATAGTTACTTTTAAATCCTGTAAATTATAGTTTCATAAAATATTAAATAAATCATTAAATAAATAATAAATAATATAGTTTTATTTTCATAATAATATATTAAATAACCAAATCATTAAGAAGATAATAAACATTAAATACATAGTTAATCCTAGACATTAATGTATTAATAACATAATTATTTAAAAAATATTAATTATATTGTTTTCCTGAACAATAGTTAATTTTTAATCATATTTTTCATTATAAAAAATGATATGCTTTAAAAACAAATAAAAAAATAAAAAATATTTACCTTTACATGTATAGATCATGTTGTCGATTAACAAATAATAATATATATGAATTCTAAAAAAAATTCAAAAAAATATTAATGTAATAGAAAATTTATAGGAAATTAGTAAATAAATAATAATATAGTTTCAGTTTAATAATTATAAATTAAATATGGAAATTTAAGTTACCTGCATTGGTTATTCAGAATACCCTTCATTTGGAATTTAATAAATTTTAAAAATTAAGAAAATCATTATATTTGCGTATAAAAAATACACATAACTGAAGTAACTTATGCTTATAATTTAGTATTAAATTCGACATGAAAATAAAGTTTCATAACTATCTTTAAAAAATAACAATTCAAATTAAAATTTGATATTCCAGAACTAAATAATTTTAAAATATATAACCAAGAATAAAAATTAATTTTTAGAATTATTTAAAAATAAAAAATAAAAAAGTTAAAATTAATTTAGGTATTCCTTAGTTTCATAATTACTATTTTTAAATAATTTCAATTTTTATTTATTTCAAAATTTCTATAAAATTTGAAATAAGTTGAAAAATGGGAATACGATCTAAACTTGGCAGTTTAATTAAAGTTAGATATTTTCCATTAATTTACTCCAATTATGAATCTATTATATATAAATTTGATAAC